CCTATCCTATATCGCCTTCGCTGCTATCACTTCCCGCCTAGCTTCCCTTACCCGAATGTATCATCCAGTACCCCACGCCGATCCACATAGAACGTCGACCAGGAGCCAGGATTTGTATTTCCATCACCCTTGGTTCTTGCGGCTTTTCACATCATGGGTCTTCCTTGAGCGCGCTAATGTCGCCATCTCCGAAGCGGTTTGCGGTGCCGTCGTGATGTGGGGAGGGGGAAAAGAGACGGTGAAAGCACACCAGTGACCGGATATCGTCTGTTCCGCTCGAGGCGCGCCATCATAGTCTCGATCTTATATGCCCTAGCTTGTCTTAACGGCGGCCTCAAACTTAATCGTAACGTTGAGTGGGCAGGCAAAGCGGTCGGTACAGCTGTCCGAAGCAGGATATCAAGGTCCCTTGCGTATATGACAACAGCGAATTTTCGTTTTTGCCCTTTTGAAATAGGCAATATTCGCAATGCCTTCATGTTGTCAAGGCTATCCTGCAAAAGGTTGTTGGTGATACAGCGCGCTTAGGTCACGTTGGTTGGAGAATCCAATCCCTTTTAGCCGACGGGCTTTCGTTAACGCGCGCTCCCGCGGGGCGCCTTGGAGCGGGAGATTTGCAGTCGATCTGTGCGTACGCTGCGTCTCCTCGTGGCAAGCCTGAAACGTCGGTAATGCACCGTGAACTGTGGTTTTCGCCTGGGGATTGTCTACTTGGTGCAAGAGGTATCTCGCGCGATGCCTCATTCCAAGGTTCGTAAGGGAGGAAAGGAATATCGCTAAACCAACACAGCACACTACGGCTAATGGTGCATCACTAATTAAAGAAGAAGCGAATGCGAGCAGTTCGTCTCGGATGCGCATTTAGGGTTTGTAAAAGGAATGCCCTTTGCAGGTCGGGGGTTTGAGGCTGTCTGCCGCGGACACAGTCTTGCGAAGAGAGTCTTTCCGACCCCTGGAGGTACCTAGGCAGATCCACTGTGTTGGAAAATTACGTTCCCTTTCCTGGGAACCGTTAGCGATTGGTTGCTGGGAATGAGCGCTACAATGAGAAAGACATCCATCACACCAATATCACGTCGAGTGTAGCGCGTGCTGCCGTGTGTTCCAGCCTTATCCGCCCCATAGTACCCATCCATAGCTGCGAGTCATGGTGGTCGTTATGAAACGCTCCACCACTCATTTTCCTTTTTCGTTCCAGCTTACTGGTGCTGTTATGGGTCCACACATGACGCAAGGATGGTGCACACTTCTTTCCCGAAGGTCGTAAAGTAAGTTCAGAGATTATCGCTGACAGCCGTGGTGCTGTGGTTCTCATCTATCTGTAACACAATGGTATCCCAGTTTTGGTAGCCTGGCGCGATCCCCGTGTGCGGACGTGTGACTGACAGGCCGGGGTGAGCGCTTCGCTTGCATCAATTCCAATGTGTGACGAGTGGTAGCGTTGGTGATGGTCAAGCGATATCCATGGATGGCAGACGGTGATGTTGTGCACTAGAGCAGTGGACGCCGTTTCGCGGGCTGGGAGATGCCGCAATTCGCTTTCATGGGCCGTGGACTAGCGCTACTGATGCCGGTAGTGGTGTGCTGTGAAGTATTGAATATTGACAAATTCTCTCGAAGATGGAGCCCTGCCTGGATTCACCGGTTTGGTGTTGTGATATGTTGTCACACCTCAATGGAAGATAGTGTGGGACGCCTTGATCCGAGAAACCCACTGCAACACTCCAACGTCCCTCATGGTAGCCTATCACCAGACCTGCGGCAACGTCCTCAGGCCGCCATCTTGTGGCTGCGAGCCGTTCGCCCGTTGAACTTCGTATTCGAAGTTTGTTTGAGCCACACACCCACGCGCGCAAGCATGGCTAGTGCTGTACGACATTTGACGTCTGCTGCCGTTCATCGGTGTGGTAAACCTTCGGTGGGCGCGACGCGCCGATGTGAACGCCTCTAACTTTGTCTCGACGACCCATGCATGACAACAGTGGGCTGATGGTTCCTTCATCAAGTGGATCAATGTGACTAGATGGCGATCAGGTCAACATTGAGCTCGTTCTCCGCGTTCCCGAGGGTGGCTGCCACCAAACTTGCCTGTAACCGATGTTCGTGGTTGTCTGAGGCAGAGTCTGGGTCGCGCATAGATGTGGGCTGGAAAAGGCCCGGATAACCCCATCCTATGTCTAGACCGACTTTGTGATTACGGTCGTTTTTCCGGACTAGGTACCTATCGAACGATCGTTGAAGATAGAACCGAGGTAGTTCCGTGAACGATTATGCCCCAACGTCATCATGAGAAAACCACATCCGACGTCCCAACACAATTCACGGAAGTCTTTCAAGCTGCGTGTAAGGCGTGGTCGCATCCAAGATGGATACTTTTCCATGAACCAGCGGGGTCTGGGGAGAAGCGACGCGAAGGAGGGGCGAATGTGTGGATCCGGGGCAGTGTCGCGTGCCTGTGACTCGTCGAGATAGATGCGCCTTCCTCATTGACCAGTGGCGCCTATGGCTGGGCTTTCGAGCGCTTTCCATCGTATCTTCATGTCATCGTCACCGACTCACAAACCTCCATGAACCTCTCATGAAGCACAATGGTCCAGCCGCTCTTTCCCGCGTTCCCTCAAGACGATGATAAACCCGCGCAGCGTCTCAGCGAGCACCAAATCGAGGCTGAATCCTCACTTAAACCCGGCGATAAAACCGATGAGGCGCTAAGCGTTCATCGCGGGGCAATTCGTGTACCTTCTCCGAATCCATCGCTTATATCAATAGACGATGCGAATGTTGTACGACTTGGTCGGAATCCAGACTATGCTCCTATATACCATGAAGAATATGCTTTACGCTCATCCGCCCCTCCGCGGACTCTCAAAGAGAAGATCGACTCTTTTTGGACGACGAACAAGGGTTTAGCGTACGTCTTGCTCGCTCAGTTCTTCGGAAACTTGATGAACGTTACCACGAGGATATTGGAGATGGAAGGAAATAGCGGTATGCAGATGCTTTCGTGAGAAGACACACATGCGCTGACCCAAGGTCGTAGGTAATGGCTATCACCCATTCCAGATCTTATTCGCTAGGATGAGTATCACCACGGCATGCGCTTTGTTCTACATGTGGTATCGGAAGATAGAGTACTTTCCCTTCGGGATGAAGGAAGTTCGGTCGTTGCTAGTTGCCAGAGGATTATTTGGCTTCTTCGGAGTCTTTGGCATGTACTGTAAGTCACTTACCCCCCTTCTTAGGACCATGCGTTTGCAGTAACTTGTCTCAGCTCGTATGATATTGGATCACGTCTGAAGGTTATTGCTACTGCATCGCTGTGATGGAATCCACAGTACATCATATGGGTCTTACGTACTTGACATAGTGCTAACTTAACTAGATTCTTTGATGTACCTGCCTCTGGCCGATGCTACCGTCATCACATTCCTCTCACCATCGCTCGCTTGCTGGGCGTGCTCATACTTCATCAACGAACCGTTCACCAGGATGGAGCAGATAGCTGCGTACATCTCGCTATTCGGCGTCGTCTTGATCGCAAGACCCGTCTCGTTATTCTCGGCACTATCGCATTCCGGCGACTCGGTCCCTCCTGCCTCCGGCGGCTTAGACGTCATTCCGTCAAACACCACTGCGACTTCACCCGATCGCCTCGCTGCGGACTACGATGATGTGACACCCACGCAACGAGCAGCAGCAGTAGGAGTGGCAATGTTGGGTGTGATAGGGTCAACAGGAGCATATACCACGATTCGATGGATCGGCAAGCGCGCACACCCACTCATATCTGTCACCTACTTCGCAACATGGTGCACGATTGTTAGTGTGGTGGCAATGGCCGTCATGCCAGGCGTCGGCTTTTTACTCCCCAAAGGTGTGAAAGATTGGTCTTACCTGCTCTTTCTGGGTATTTGTGGTTTCGTCATGGTAAGTCTGGCCTACATTCTCGCGTCGCGCATCGATTAATGTGACGTAGCAATTCCTCCTAGCCGCGGGCCTCCAATACGAGAAATCTTCTCGTGCGACCAACATGCTCTACATGCAGATGTTCTTCGCGCTTGGTTTCGACAAATTGATCTGGGGCACTACGCCGAGTGCTTTGTCCATTGTTGGATCGTCGCTCATCCTGGGTTCGGCCATATACGTCGCGATGAACAAGGAGCAACCGAAGAAGAACGTTGAGCCAGTAGGTCGAGGAGACAGCGAGGAAGAAAGGGGGTTGATGTCGCCCGTTTTTGACGTTGAACGAAGGGATGATGATGACGCCGATATACAGATGCGACCGCTGAGATGATGCTTCAGCGTTCCCTTGTGGATTTACTGTAAAGCCTCACGCGCATGAGGAATAGACTGCTAGACTGCTTTGCACGAGTATAAACAGGAATCCAGAACATAGACGCTTCGCGAGACCATCTCTTGTAGTTGTCTAAAACTATTGCACATTATCAGACCTCGAACAATGTGCGCCCTTCTTGTCGCTATTGCCATCATGAATTTTTGATTCGTTGTTAGTACTCTCATGGAACAATAGGTAACGTGATGGCGGAGGTCTCGGAAGTGATATTTAGCTACCCCACCTGCGCTCCACGCGCAATCTGCGATCTCAAGCTCACCCGAAGGCAGCAAGCAGGCAGCCTTACCTCACCATCTCACACAACGTTGTGCATTATCTTGCAATAATTCAGCCAGCACTTCATCAACAAATCCTCTGTGGCGCAATTGGCTAGCGCGTCTGACTGTTACAACAGTAGCTAGTTATCAGGAGGTTGGAAGTTCGAGCCTTCCCGGAGGAGGATTATCTTTTTGCCTCGCAGGCATCCTTTTGCACCCACCATGTCGCTGTGACATTTGTATCGAGACTGCAACGCCTCGAAATATCATGGCAGAATCGATAAGGGCGCTGCATTTTTGCTCATAGAAGGAAATGACTCTATTGCATCCAAAGTGAACGATCTCATGATCCCACTGACAGCTCACATTCACCTCCTAACAGCCGTAGGCTAAACCCTACTCCTCTGCACACTCGTAAACCTCATCCTGCCATCTTCAATCTTGAGTACATTGACTGGCACTTTCACGCGCAAAGGCTCTTCTCCAGGTAGATTCATCGGCGCAGAAAAGCCTGCTACGTGCGAAACAGCGCTGTCGCAAGTCGGACATTTCCAGTTCCTGTGTGCTGAGTCCACATCTTCGTCGTTGCCGTTCTGCTCGATGCGCTTGATGCAGATGTTGCAGAATTGGTGGTCGCAGGGACGAATACTGGGCGTGTGTGAGTGAATGGGAAGTATAGGATAGGCTGAGAGGAGTAGAAGAGAGGTACTTACATGCAATCACACAAGCGCAGCTCACAAGTCGTGCACATCTTCGGCTTGGTGGGGTCGAATTCTGGTTCTGTGCTAATGCCGATGTGTTGGTCCATCTGACTAACACTCTTGACATTGTCGAAATCACCTCCGTCAAGTCGCTCATCTACCTTTTCCTCGACAACGAAATACTGACCGCCAGCCTCTGTGTAAGCTTTCACGTCGATGGACGGGGGTGTTGGAACAATATGCGTCACTTTCTCGCAGCTTCCTGGGTCGAGGATATGAACGTGGAGGATGCGCGCTGCGGCGTGATTCCACATTGTGGGTGGGTAGGGGTCTTTGTATATGTCTTGAACTGTACGGTAGGTTAGGGAAACGGGTCGGGAGGTAAGAACGGAATAGACGTACTCAGCTTTCCGCCTGCGGCTAGACCCATGGCTTTGATGTTTTTGGTTTCGATGACTTGGAGGTCCAGGTTATCTATACCATCCTCGCCCCCGATGTCTTCCCTGTCATCGCGTCCGACATCCTCCCTGTCCATGTCTACGGCTAAGTCATGTCGTTCTATATTCCAACCACCAATGCCATTGCTGACGAGATTGGACTCATCGATGAAAGTGTAACCATGCATTGATGCCTGCATTGTTGGCGCTGGTATATCGGTGTTACCCTGCAAATCTGCATGTTGTCCGGGCTGGTTAAAGATGATTGGTAATGGGTTAACTGGTGACGTGTTCTGCATCATCCTCATCTGTTCTTCCCACTTCTTGAGATATACCTCTCGCAGTATTTTCTGTTCGATTTCAGACGTGTTCTGCGAACTGCGCTGTGGGTTGACCGCCTCGCATTTGAATATCAGTAGGACGCTGGACCAATTCTTGATTCCAAAAACTTACAACACACTCAATAGTCCCTCCCGGCTTTGCAAAATGCTTCGCTTTGAATCGCTCCTCACAAGCACTATCAGCCGGATAGCGTCTCAACACATCACCTACCTTGCAACCCAGCCCTTCAGGCGTCTCCTTTTCCGAAAGATTATCACGAGGACCAGGGCCCCGCCTGAGGATATAGTCGTGTTGGCTGTCCGACCACAAACGCAGGTCGGGCAAGAATTCTGGAGTGATCTCGAGTTGAAGTCCTCCGTGCTGCTCTTTCGATGTCTTCTGGCCTTCGACAGTGTAGCCGGAGCCGACTTTGTTGGATTAGTTGATAATCTTGAGGACTGAGTGGAGGACGTACGTGGCATAGCAACGAACTGACGAACAACACCAGGTCCTACACAGATGCCATCTAGCCACTCCTGACCTGGTAGGACTATGTAGTCCTGCTCGAGCTCGTCGGACTTTTCGTCGGCGGTCTCTTCCATCGTGAGACCAGAAATGGTGTTGACGTGGCCCATGAAGACGCGGACAGCACACTGCTGATTTGTCGGCCCAAAGTTGAGCCACATGGCCTCACGCTGCCACATGGGGAAGAGCACACCACCAGATTCTGTAATGTTATCTGGTAGACGATCTGCATAGGCTTCTACACTGAACAGATCGTAGCTCCCTAGCGAGCCTGGGAGTTGATGCAATTTGTTATCGTCTGGCATCCTCGGAGTCCGCTCTAAAGACATGTGGAACCCACAGCTAGCTTCGACTGCACGCTTGGATGCAGGGAGCGGAGCGATGTTGAAGTCGATATCTTGGCCGTAATGATTGTTGGCGTGTGAGATTAGTGACTCCGTCATTCTGATTGTGTTCTTGGTGGAAACATGGTCGTCTGCGACTACGACGACTTCTTCGTGCGCGCTCACAACGCGTTTGGGGTCGTCTTCGCTATGAGTCGTGCCGCCTATGTTCAGAAAAGTAGGCTTATGGAAGCCACAATCTGTTGAATGTTAATTTAATGCTTGGATATGAAGGAAGTACATGTCTAACTTTCGATCCGATCCCAAAGCTCACACAACGGCTCTTCTTCCTGCATCGTCATGGAGAATGTTGATAACTCGAGGTGTTCATCCCCGCTTCCTCTCTGGTCGGTCTTTCCGGTATCCTGGACTTTCTCTAGGCCCCTGATTACTATTTTACGAGAGTCCGTTCGGACGACGGAGGTTGTTGTAGAGGCCATCGAAGGCGAGACGTCGGCGAATTGAGTACAACGGGCAATATGTTGGATATCAAGAAAGAGAGATGGTGCGGCGATCAGGCTGATGTGTAAGTTAGCTCGATGACAGCCTCAGCCTCACCAGGTGGGGTCGTGTCAGCTGCATGCACGCTCCCACTTCCATCGCATTCGATCAGGCTGAAGCGTATGCTTTTCTCACACTGCGATAAGCCTCGTGGAAAATGTCTTTTGGCTTCTCAATAGGGGATATTAGTATGTGTGTCAAACATTTATCTTATGCACGAGTGCTGATTGCGTCTAGTCCTCCTTAGCCAATTATCGTACGACCTGTATTCGAGCCTTAGCTCTGGGCGACAGGCGGCAACGCGAGATTTGAAAGAGCTTGAGGAAGTGCTGTTTAGTTTAAAATGCGCACTAGACCATCTTAAAGAGGCCTCCAGGGATATACTCGCAAGACCAGGCTTTCAACATGGAGGATCGGAGCTCAAAGAGAAGCTGGATGTAATGATCGGATCATGCGCTTCAACACTGCAGGAGCTGGATAAAGTGACGAAGAAGCACCGTGACGTTGAGATCCATGCAAACAAGGGAAAGACAAAGTTGCGCACGCTGGATGATGTGAAGAAGAGTATTCATGTCAACTGGCAGAGAGTGCGATGGGACCGCGAAAAGCTGTCGTTGCAGCAGTATCGGGAGAAATTGAAGTCGCATACTGATGCGATAAATCTGATGTTGACCTCGATAATCTGGTAACGGTCATGCCTTTGATCGCAGGTGAACAAAGGCTAATCACTCTGCAGGGCAAACACTACGTTCGCGGGTGCTGATAGCAAAAGAAACCACGACAAAACGCACTCTTTGTTAGACAAAGTGTTGCGCAATCCAGTTGCAGATCCTGAAATCCGAAGCATGGTGGAGGAAATGCACGCTATGCTTACCAAATCGCCTGCCAGGACGCACGAAGGCCAAATGGAAGCGATAAGAAGAGCTGGATCGTCTCACAACGAGGTCGGTGTGACTGCAGACTCACTGAGCGGCTCGATGTTGGACGAACCACCGAGCCCGATTGCAGAAGAACTGCAGATGGCCACGGTGCAGGGCACAGAACCGCTTTATGATCAACCCGACGTCGCTGCATATTCATTGAGCGGCTCGTCAATTGGCGAATCCTCTGGTCCCATGGAGGTCCACGGAAGAGGTTTGCCGTCAGTGAGCATGTACGCCATGTCTGCTTTGCCATATAGAACGCCCACAGCAGATGCGTATATCAGACCTGTCTCAACAAGAGTATCAGTGCGAGGAGTTGGCGGTGTAACGTCTTGGGAACACCAATCTAGTGCGGAGAGCGCACCTCATCGTAGGGGTCTGAGACGCCATGTCGAGCTACCAGCGGCCACTGTCGCGCTCAACAATGAACGCCGTGCTTTCGGAGCAAGAGAGTACGAGGCGTTCAAACAGCGACACACACAGCCGAAGAAGGATTTGAAGCCGTCTTTCCTGACGAGTGTGGCGCCTACAAACCAGGAGCTGCAGAACTCCATACCGCATATCTTCCAATCGACAGCAGAGGGTAAACAGCAGACGCAAGAGCTGAAAAACGAGATGACTCGTTGGACGCATGAGTTCTCACGCTTCGTCGACGACGGGAATGCAACGCAAAATTCCAGAGACGAAAATGTCTTGACGTTGTTGGGAGCGCTGAACGAGGCAATAGACAGCAGCAGTGGAAAGATGCGACAACTGTTCTATGAGACTTCGGACTCGGCGGGCTTCACCGCTGTGTTAGGCCGGATAGAAACTGTGTCGAAGAGCGTGAGAGTGATGAAAGAGGCTGAAGAGTTCCAGGATGTCAAAGAAGAACGGGAGGAGCGTAGACGAAGTCGTTGAACTGAACGGCCTGATCTATCAGCATTGTGGTTTAGTATTGGGCCGTATGACCCAAGATGGCTGCATGGAAGCCTCTTAGTGGGGAGAAAGGCTGCTTCCTTGGACAACACTAACTCAGCGATTGCCTTTCAGCGCTTCTTTGATCTCTGTATCCCTTCAATTGCGGGTCCAAGACATCTTGCCTCTGCTCGACGTATTCTTGTGCAACAGCATGTATCGAGAAACGATGACACATAACGTCTGCCTGAAACAAGTCGAAGAGCAGACTGTCAGATGACTCTGTATATATCGCCCCAAATAGCATCAGTTCCTACACTGGTATTGGTTGAAGGACCGAACAACGACAGCAACTTCGCATTTCCCGACCCTGTCTTGTACCCTTGCAATGTACTCTCGTGGACATATCCTATTCCGCCGCATGCTCCTTTGAACTGGACTATAGGGCGTAAGGGGCCCTTTACGCGGTACGGGAGCATAGCCCTGGTCTCCGCACCGACGAAGAGGCCAGGTTCCGTCTCAAAGGATTGAAAGCTGTGTGGAATGCCATGTGCGATTTCGTGGATTATCAGACGATCACCGGTGGGTAGCAGACACCACAGGTCGCCAAGTGCGTTGTGCTTAGCTATGACGTCTGCCAGGGAGTGTTTTCGAAAGTCGACAAAGCGATCTTGCTTGGTGATTTTCGGTGCATGGTCGATAGGACCGTCGGAGTGGGCATACCATCCGACATCCTCATGCGGAGGTACGAATCTCCATTTCTTCAAGACATCCACGAGCATTTCTGCTCCAGCCGCGGCAAGCCGTTGCTCCAATATCTGAGCCGTCTCAGGACTCGGTTCGGTAGGAAGGGCAATCTCGTAGCCAGGCATGGGGGTTTGGGCAAGGATAGTACCCTGGTCGAAATGCCTTGGATGCAGTGTTTGCACAGAGACACCGGTGTACTGCCGCCGCTTCAGTATGGCATGTGAGACGGGTGCTGGGCCACGCAGATCGGGGAGCAGCGAGGGATGCACGTTGAGACCGCCGTATTGCGCATAGTTGAGGATTCGCGGTGGGACGAGGAGACCGAAGGATACGGCGATGACGACATGTATGGGGGTGGGTGGAGTCCAGCCGGTGAAGGTATCGATCACATGGGTGGGAAGGTTGAGCTCTTCGGTAGCTACGTGTTTGATGGGTACTGTAACGTGTCAATTGATGTTGTGTTGTAGCTACCAGACGCTCCTACCCTCTCTCAGCGTCTTCAGACCCCGTCCGGTGGGTTTTGCTGGGCGATGGATGACATCAATGCTCTCAATGAGGCCCGGCACATGCCGCTTCGCGTCTGCTACGGCGCGCAGTGACGCGATGCTGAAGGCGTCAGAGCCACAGAAGAGAATCCGCAATGGCTCCGACGTCCGAGCGGGAGCAGAGGTAGAGCTGCATCGGCAGGGAGGAGTGGCGATCAAGGAGCGGACGGGGCTGCGCAGCCTCCAGATCATGGTTCAGAGGTGAGGAAGCTCGGCGACAAAAGCCGCGCCGCAGGGTCTGGACGTTGCGATCGTGATCCCGTGGGGCATCTCGACCACGACAATCGGAGGGATCCCTGCCGCCCGGCCGCCGCATCGCGATGGACTGCAGTGCCTTACTATGGAATACAAATAGGCCACGACGACCGCTCGTTGTTGGGGTTGCGCGTTGGCACGTTCGCTGGCTGTCCTCTCCTCCGCGTCTCTTCCGCACGCGTGACGTAGTCATCCATCACCCAAATCCACCAGAAGCGCCGCGCGACCAGGCCCTTCGCAGAATGCACACATGTCTTCCACGGCGGTTCCCAAGGTCGTCCCGGCGCAGCTCTCCTTTCTAGCCATTTACAATCCCTCGCTCGGAACATCGGATGAGACTTTCCACCAGCAGATTGTCTTCTACTACTCCAAGGCCGCCAAGACGCGCTCCAGGCTGAAGGATGGCGATACAGAGAGGGAGGAAGAGTTGCGCGAGCAGGAGAACGAGAAGCTTCGCCAGGTCGGGCTAGCTCAGGGCATGGTAGGCTTTGCGAAGTAGGACGCATGCAGGCGAGCTCTTTCGTGTATATGGCTAATACCGTGCAGGAGTTTCTCCAATGGCGAAGCAGTTGACTCTGTGGAAACACAAAAGTCGCGTATTGTTCTACGCGAACTGGAGAATGAATGGTGGATATTGGCAGTATGCATGCCCACGTGCTCAGAAACTACGACTAACACCACCATAGTCCATTGATCTCACCCAACTCCCCCCTACCGGCGGCCTCACACGAACCGACTCGAGCACCGATACGACCGAGCCCATAATCGAATACTCGTCACGCGAAGTCAGCCCGCCTGCTCTTCTGATCCAGCAATTCGTACGCGCCCAGTCCGTCTTCCTGCTACACCATGGCTCAACACTCGAGACCATGTTCTCCAAGCACGGCCGTGCCAAGTTTTGCAGCATACTCGACAAATACTGGTCGCGATTTGCGAGCAGCTGGGATGTGCTACTACATGGAAGCCCTGCGGTGGACATATACGGTGGCATGAAGCTGGCAGCAGGCGGTGAGCTCGGTATGGGCGTTGGTGAGGAGGAATGGGGAAGCAGCGAGCGAGACGTGCTGGAAGACTTCGCACGCCGAACCTCAGGTCTCGTCGATGTCATGGTGTCTCGCTTTGGAGAAGCATCACCTCTACAACAAGCCAAGACATCCACAGACCCGAAGACACTCGAAGTGTCAGAGCTGGAACCCTGGATAGGAGTCGGAAAGAACGTCCATGCCGCAGATGGCGTTGTCTTTTCGGGTCTGGGAGCTGTGAGCAGGAAGTCGTTACGAGACTTGTCTCACTGGGTAGAGACTATCTACGCCCACGGCGAGTATGCTTACGGCGTACGAGATAACCCAACATCAGATCGTAGGAAACGACGGAGGAGAAATCTGAAGCCCGAACCCGAACCAGAAGAGCCATCGCCTCCAATACAAGAAGAAAGGCCGCGCTTCCCTCCGTCGAGCAACGGCTCCCTACCACCGGGTATCCCTCCGCCTATTGTCAAAGCAGCCGAGAACTCTCTTGACAAGGCCTCCGCCGCCGTCCAAAACAACAAATCCCAGCCCGACTCTACTGCACCTGAGTCCAAGCCAATGCTCGCGTCTCTGGGTGACACCGAGACCTGGATGAAGTACATGACACTTGGCTATGGGACAGCATGGGGTGGAAAGAAGAGTGCCGAAACCTCGGAATCTGCTGCTCCAATGCCAGCACCGCTACCACCGGCACGCGAACGCACCCCTTCACCAGCAGCGATGCGCTACGTAGATCCAACTCCCGATGTGGACCCAGCGGAAGAGAAGATGAAGCAACAGATACGTCTAGAGAACGACGGGTATTTCCTTGTAGGACTCAAAGGCGATCTACAGGACTTAGACATCGATGACGAGAACGGAGAGGGCGACTGGAACATCCGCATACCGCTACGGACTATACACGTGGAGGTCGACAGGCGAGAAGCTTCACTGAAAACAGAAGATGGTGACTCGGACTCGACTCCACAGTACGAGAAAGACATGAGGGTGGAGCCGACAACAGAGAACAAGCTATCACGGTTACGACCTGTTGTCTACGTGGTAAGTCTACACATCAACTCCAGACTCGTCTACCCTACTAACACCCACCACAGCACCGTCCCTTCGTCTACACCTTCCTCTTCGAACACCGCACCCACTCCCTCGGCGTCGCATCCTTCTACCGCGACATCCACAACTTCTTCTCGCCCCTCCACCGCTCCCTCGACAAGAGCACATCCCCCAGCCTCGTCGCCGCCCGCCTCCACGCCGTCTCAAACCACTACACGACCGAAGCTTCATCCGGCGGCTCAGGCCCCTCCTCCGGCCCCAACACACAAACCATCTACGATCTCGTCTACGACCCCCGCACCTACACCCTGCACTCTAGCCTGCCCAATATCCCCGATCCGGGCACCCTGCTCGCCGAAGGCCTGGGCAGCAACAGCACGAGCTCCCTCGGCTGGAGCAGGATCGAAGCCCTGAACGTACATTCCCAGATCCTCGCTACGGTAGCGGGTACACGCCGCAACCTCTCTGAAATCGAACGCACGTGCAAAACATCTCGCGGCTGGTGGGTTGTCTGGATGCGTCTCCCACCCTCGCAAGTCTCCAACGAAGATACTGCGCAGAACAATGCTTCGAATGAAAACGCTGGTTCGGGGCACGGCTCCGGCCAGTTCAATTCCAACGAGCTGCGTGAAGCGTTTCTGGTGAGGAGGGCGAGAGATACGACGGCGCATAGTGCGAAGAGCTCGAGTAGCTTTGCGAGTGGCATGTGGAGTGGGCTTGGTATGGGAGGCGGGAGTACGTCGAGGAATGAGAGGATGGGTGGGAGTGCCGCTGGGTGGGGACCCAAGGGGTTGGCGGAGGGGATTGGGATTGATGCGAGGAGGTATGTTGAGGAGTTGTTGAGTTTGAATAGGTAGATATTAGGTCGTGGGAAGTTGAGAGCGCGGAATACAATGACCGGATTAGGCACACGCGATCTGTCCTGTCTACAAGGCCCGCTTCAATCATTTTTACCGTCTTGCCCTCGCCTCCACTCTTCCCACCCATTGACGATCAAGAAAGTATATGCGCCTTTGATTCAGACTGGAGCCATCGTTTTCGTCTCAGGCTGATGATAATCTCGATTCAACAATCTCGTACTCTCCTCGCTCCAAGTGCCCCAGGAAAGCCTCAATATTCCTAACCATGCCCTTGAAACAATCCTCGGGTATCATGTTGAACTTCTCAAGCTTCTTCAAGTCAACAAGCCCTTGGCGTATTATCTCAGCCCTCTCTTCTGAGCTCTTTCCCTCAAATACAGGCCGGCCTGGAATACGATTCTTCTCCGCGTAAGTAGGCGCCATGGCTTGGTAAATTAGTGTGGTCACTCTTTCGAATTCTGCGTTGTTCTCTTCTGTTATGCCTGCCTGCTTGGCGTGGCGACTGATTCTTTTGTGGTCTTCCGCGGTGGAAGAGGAAAAAGGTCCTTCTGGTAAAGATGCAGGGGTGCACAATTCGCGGAATGAGGGTGGGACTTCTAGCAATCTTGAGCCCTTTTGGGTGAGGACCTTATTTAGAGCGGCTTGTATGACTCTGTCGTCGGCGTTGACCCATATTGCCCAATTGTTGGCGTGATGTTCCCGTTCTGCCTCAGAGAGGGGGTTTGTGAAGTGGAGTTGACTGGAGATATTTGTCAGCGAGATTGAAGTGCGTGGGCTGTAGCGGGGTCGTGTACTTTGCCAGTCTCTCCATAAACTTTGTACACATATTAGGCTCTTTCTCTAGTTCTTCTTTCAGAATGCTAGCGGCCTTATGTACTGGCGCTGAGAAGACTTTCGTCGCATCAGTATCGATGCCAGTGGTTAGCTCCTGGTGGCACTTCTCGTGGAACATGATGTTGAGTGGGACGGTTGGGTCCCCATTCCATCCTCGAGTACCTAGGAAAGGGAACTCCTGGTTCTCCATATCGTCTTTCAGCGCTTCGTGTATCCTGGCGCTGATACGCGCCGTCTGCTTGAAGAGCAAGATGTGGTTGAAGTGCAATTTGGGAATCTCGTATTGAATAGTACGACGAAAGATCATCAGATATCCAACCAGAGTATGTATTCCAAAAGCCTTACGGTCTTCGGGGTCGTGGCCGACAATACGAAGCGCTTCGCGTCGAATGAGGTCTTGGAGGTCCTTGTTGACAATGTTCAAGAAGTCCCGTCGATTTGTTCCATCTTTGAAGAGTGCGTCGATAATGGGGGTGTTGACAGCCTTGAGCTTCGGTTGAGTGTTATAATGAAGTTTGCCGGGTCGGTTCCCTCGGGCGAATGCAGAAAGGGGAATACCATGTGACAGTAACGTACGTAGGTAACATTGCTGTAGAGATTTGGGTCGATCTCCACCGAATATGCTTTTGTCTCCAATGACTTTCAGGAAACTCTCCATATCGGGCCACTCTGTTTCGAGTACGGGCGTGTGCAGGCTTGAAGAAGACACACTGTGGGCTTGTCGGAGGTAGTTGTAGAGGTGTGCGTATGCTACCGGATAGCCAACGTGGCTATGCAATACCATGTAGACCTCATTGACGGCTTGTGCAGTAACAAAAGCAATCATGCCAGCAAGAAAAGGGTTGTGGCGTGGCCAGCTTCCAAGGGAGACACCATTGACCACCTCTTTATCGGCAGGAAACCTCCCACGAGTCGTAATCATCTTGATGGTGGCACGTCGAGTCCAGAACATGTCGCCTACTAGCCAGTCTTTTACAATTCTTACCGTCTCCGAATCTTTTCGCAGGAAAGACTTGAGTCCTTGACGGACACGCTTCGAAGTGAACGGCCACTCCTTTACCTGATTCAATACCTGACCGGCATTACTTTCGTCTGAACTTGCGCCGTAGTTTTTGCTTGACCAGTTCTTCCGGTAATCATGTGGTATGATGTTCGAATCAGCCAGTGTGATGATCTTCTGTACGTCCAGATAGATATCTGTGCAGAGGATTATCTCCACACTCAAGTCGGGAGCCTTGCCATTCGACTTTTTACTCTTCCCACGAGTATGTGCGTATAGGTCTCGGAAGTAATCGCGCCAGAGTTGGGTGAAGTTGTCCATGATGGGTGGATCCTGCCAAGTATCCGTTTTGCTTACTTCTTGGATGATCGCGATATCTTCGAGCGCGTTGAACAGCGACTCTAAAAGAGGGCCACCCCGCTTCTGATCCTTGAAATACCCGTTTGCAACCATGTCTTCCATTGATCGGTATCGTCCGAAACCATCGTTTTCATGGAAGAAAGAGTCCACCACGACCCAGGTGTCGGCGAAGGTCCCTAAGCAACTGAAATCCGCGAGGTTCCTAGGAACTTGAAAGTACACCCTGCTAGTGTTCGATGCGGTTTTATTAGCAGTAGAGCGCATGTAGGCTTTGACTCGATGAAGATAGTTCAAACAAATTGCCTCCATCGAGCCGAGTTGCGGAAAATGAGCCGTGAAACTGTCCACAAGACTTCGAAGCATTTGGAAAGCGGCCTGGGTAGTAGCCGCTGCCGTGATGAGGTCCAGATTTCTGATTATGAGGTAACTTTGCCAAGTCAAGTGAATAAGCTCCTTTATGCGAGTGTAATCGTACATAAGGAAGTCCATAGCGGCGTTGCCCTCATCTTTGCTGTTATCAACAACATAAGTAATCCGTGGGTTTGGCGAGGTCTTCTCCGTTGCCACAGGGATAGCGCTCTCGACTTCCTCATCCGCCAATTCCTCGATTTCAAGCTTGGTAAATCGATTGGTAATGTCTTCCATAGAATCATGCCGGATAGTCTTGCCATCAGCACTAACGGAATGTCGCGTTTTCGGTATAAACGGTCGTAAGATATTCAGTGTTTGCTCCAGTGTCTCCGTGAAGAAAGCATGACCAGCAATACCTTCCTCTTTCGCCACCCTCTCAGTCCCATCCAACCCATCGACTTGACTTTCATGCCATTGCGACGACTTCTTTCGTTGTCGGATAGCCCGTGCCGCACACTGAGCGGCATAAACTGGGACGACGAACTGCTTTGGTGGTTTCTTGATGATTGCCTCTGCACATGCAACGAGTCCGCTGATGCTGACTTCTCGCTCTTCTGACTTCTTCTTTTGGGACCGTGATTGCGACGCCGTGGATCCCGAGGATGACTTGTAGGGCGGCGTAAATCCAATGCTTGATGCAGTGCCACAAAGCCAGGTAATGTAGGTATTGGTATCCTTTTTGTATTCGAGATAGCTGTTGTAGATGTTGTCGGGTACCGTCTTGAGAGAAATTGGCGGGGTGATATGTTTGGGGCGCTTCAGCTTTCAAGTAGAGAGACGGTCGGGCAGATACCGGAGCTGATACAGTCCTAATCACACCAACTAGCGTCGCGCTAAACTCTGAGGTCGCAGAGGAGGAGGTGTTGATGAACGACCAGGGATCTCCGGATCTGACACAACGCGTAAATCGGCAATGCTGAGCGGCCCGATTAGCTAAAACACCTCTTGACCATCAACTTCGCCATCATGTGATAGAGGATGCTGGGCATTGCTTCTGTTGTTGATATTGCGTGGCTCCGATTAGCTATAGTATTTGTATAAAAATCCGTGATCGGGAAGTTCGTTGACGTAGGTTGACTGATCTTGCGGAAGTAACCAACGCGAATAGAGTATGCCTCTGACTCAAACTGGGGCCAGGGCTGGTCATCGAGATCGTACTTTGGTATACGATGTTTGCGATAGTTTTGTGATTGCATAAAGTATGCAAAGGTAATACGTGCGTGTGTGTGCTAAGAAGTTGCAGTGTTGTGAGTGGAAGACACTGTTCAGATCGTGAGTGATCAGTGGAGGAAGGCGCGACGAAGGATATACCCAGGAAGACATGGCTTGGCAGATCAGGACTGAACGGGAAACGCACCTTGACGAACACTTTCCATTAACACTAAAGTCGCTACACTGGGGTATATCTGTATGCCTTTAACCTCGAGAATTCCCTTCTTCATCGTATGATCATCTCCATCCTACCTCCACTAATCACTCCACCTCAATCCCATCCACATCCTCCGTATCATCCAACGCCCTAACCACCTCCTCCATCTCCTTCGGACTCGTGATCCCCCAAACCCCACCGCCCTTAACAGCCCCCTTCATGCCCACCTCCTTCCCCACAAGATTCCTGCCCACTTTCCCTGGCCCAATACCCACATACCGCATAATCTTCTCTTGCTCGTGTAGATACTTGACGCTCTTCCACCACTGCACCGTCTCCACGCAACTGCGTGCTAGCAAGTCTTTCAACTGCTCTTTATCTTGGAAGGGCTTGCCGGAAACATTCGATATACAGGGCATGATGCCGGGCCATGTTATAATGTCGCGGCCGTCTTCTGTAGGCTTGTGCAGGATACGTTTCATTGTTTCGGCCGCAGGCTTCATGAGGAGGCTGTGGAAGGGGGCGTCAGATTTAAGTCGTACATGGCGGGGGTCGTGGCCGCCGAATTGGCGCAGGTTGGTCAGGAGGGTGCTGATGCGTGTTATACTACCACTCAAGACAATCTGGTTCTTCGAGTTGAGGTTTGCGATGGCGACTTGCTGGACGGCGGGGAGGTGGTCGTGGGAATCGGCTTTGGAGCCTAGGGCGAGGAACTCGTGGATGCCGTTGATGAGGGATTGCATGTGCTCTTCGGATTCGCAGACGAGGGCCACCATGCCGAACTCGCCGCCTTCTTCTGCGACGGCTTCTTGACTGCATTTGCTCATTACTTCGGCTCGTCGCCGCACCATCTTTAGGGCGTCGTGGAAGGTGAGGTAGCCGCCTGCTACGAGGGCTGCGAATTCGCCTAGCGAGTGGCCCAGTGTGATGTCGACGCGCTCGCTGGTCTTGAAGCCAAACTCCTTCTCCAGTATCCGCAGTATCAGGATCGAGGTTGCCATAATGGCCGGTTGCGCGTTCTCGGTTCGTGTTAGCTCGGCATTCGTGCCAGACTCGATTGTCTTGGTAAGGGGGAGTTGAAGGGTTTCGTCAATCTCCTCGAGGATGGGTTTCGCGGTCTGGGGGAAGGCTTGCAGCCATGGTGTGCACATGCCCACGCGTTGTACGCCCTGGCCTGGTATTGCTTAGCACACTGTACTATCTGAGTATCTGAAAGCTAGAAAGAAATACCAGGGAAGAAGATGGCAGTCTTGGGTCTTGTGGCGGGCGCATCTCGCACGCTGCTCATCCAGCGCCGCCGTGAAGGCTGACAGTTGGCGCTCCGCTCGCCGCATCGCATACACCGTCGCGACAAACGCGGGGCTGCTCTGGATACGGTACTACAAGAAGAAGACATGGCGTGTTTCTGGCTATGAAGTTTGGAGAGTCATGGTGTTGATTTCCAGCAGCTCTGCGGAGATGCGGAGGTTCGGGCGCGGGGAATTGACGTGAGGTGCCCTGCAGCTTGAACTAGCGCCGTGGGGTCACCCAACACCCACGGCCGAGGTCTTGCTTTTCCGCGACCAATCGTCACCGAGGCATTGACTGATGTCTTTACGAGGGTATACGATTATCAAATTCAATGCTAGACTGATGGATACCTTTGACAGTCATGACTCTTCCACAGCATCCTCTCACGCGCCCTGGATGTTGAGTCCAGCGTCAACCTGAATGCGCATACCAGTCATGCTAGTATTCTTCGCCAACATGACAAACGCTGCAACGCAATCGTCCAGGAAAGTCTCATGCTGAAGCGCTGCCTTGCCCTTGATATGGTCCTGCATTTCTTGAGAGTACTTGAGGCCCTGGACTATTGTCAATATGAGACGATAGAAAAGCTTCTGAGACCTTACCCATTCCGTCAACAGTAAGCCAGGAAGGACAGTGTTGACGCGAATCTTGGGTCCGACGGTGGCGGCAAGGCATTTGACGAGTTGGAGTTGGGCTGCTTTGGTGACGGCGTAGGGCATGCTGGAGCCGCCTTGGCTGATAGCCTATTCCATGGTGATTAGCAGGTCGTCAATAGATCCATAGTTCGTAGTTGTGTCAAGATGGAAGGAATTGAGAACATACCGCAATACTGCCCGTAGTAATCATCAATCCACCCTCGGGATTCGCGTCAAACGTGCTCCTTGCCTCAGACAATAATGCCTTGGGTACTTTGACATTTGCATTCCAGCACTTATCCCACTCTTCGTCGCTCATGGAGTCAAGGTCTTTCCACTCGGAGAAGCGCGTCCAGCCTGCGTTCGCGATGATGACATCTAGCCCTCCCAAATGTTCAATCGTCTCCCTAATTGCTCTCCTCGCCTCATCCGTGGATGTCATATCCTGTCGCACGTATTAGTATCTCTTCTCCCCAACTGACAAAAACCAAACCAACTACAACTCACCGCTTTGATAACAACAGTCTTGACCCCATGCTCTTGACATGCTTTCTGCACCTTCTGCGCGGGCTCGATACGGTTGAAGTAGTTAATCGCCACATTGGCGCCTTCACTCGCAAACGTCGTGCTGAGGAGTTCGCCGAGGCCGCTGAATGGGAGGTGTTAGTAAGAGATGACATTTGAAAGACGAAATAGTGGGTATAGAGTGAAATGTATGGAGGAAGGCATTCAGGAAGATACGATGTACGTACGCTGATCCGCCGGTGATAAGTACATTCCTGCCTTTGAGGTCGTACGGCATGTTTGCTGCTTTGCTGCCGGCTCTGTGTGCGTTGGGTAGGCCTGGTGGAGATGTAGAATGCGATTAATGTGGTTCCTGTTGTAGATCTGGAGGAGGAGAGAAGATAAGCTTTCAGCAGGAAATGCTTGGGATAGGGTATTGAGAGTTCATTCGTGTGTTGTTTACAAGCTGACTGTCGGAACCGTCGTCACCGTCGGGAAACATGGTGGGGCAATGGCTTCCGGAGTTTATGCAGGTGAGGACCACCCCCGCCCCCCGGTTCTATCGTACTTCTTGCCGGTTTGGGGTTAGTAGGGTTACCTCGGTACAGTCATACATACATTTACATGATGGTTGCTCCGCTTGTATTGTACTCGATTGCAGGACGCCGTAAGATGCGATAGTAATAATTCCATAACCAACCATTCCGATCCAATCCATCCTAAGCGCTTATCCCAAGCATTGCCTTTGGAAGAATAATCTACGTGCCTAGGTATGTATTCCATGAAGAAGAAGCCTCCATAAACACACTCTACATGTTATCGAAATCCAAACCCCAGTCGTCATCTCCTCCGCCACCACCCATATCCATGTTCATGTCCATATCCATATCCATGCCCATACTACCCATGTCACCCAGATCCATACCGGGCAAGCTGCCCAGGTCTGTGCTCATATCGCCTGCGCCTGCATCGCCATTGCCCATGCCGATGTTTGACAGGTCCAAGCCTTCGGCACCAGTCAGTTCGTCCATACTGCGTTGCAGCGCTTTGTTATCCATGTTGGAAATGTCGTCTACCACCGTTGCGGCTGCTGCGTCGTCGATAGCTCGGTTTAGATCGTCGGATATAGTTTGCGATTGCATGTCCCCGATGTTGACGCTCGGTATGTTGATGGGTGGTGCTTGGAGTGAAGCTTCGCTGAGGGAGGCAAAGTGCGCTTCTACTCGGCGGTGCAGACGCACTATCGTCTCTGCAGTCAGAGGATCTGTCGCGACCAGATTGGCTGCGCTCTCGAATTCCTGCTTGAGCATCTCGCGGAGATTCATGCGGGTCCGTTGTTGAGGCGGCGCTGGTATCGAGCTTCCCATCCAGTCTATCGTGATCGGACTGTCTTCAACGGTCGGGGCGCAGATGATAGACACGCCAATGTCGAGCGCAGCGGCTCCGTTGCCAGCATCTGTCTGCGCTTTTACCTCATCTATGATTGCGCGTAGCGTCCTGGTGGCACCAAGCATCTTCAGGGATGCGTAGATTTGGCGGTGTGTATAGCCAGGTGGGTTCGGCTGTAACGAAGAAGTCGAAGCCCATTGACATAGTTGTTGTATTGTATGCCGTAGAGACGTGTTCAAAGTGCTGTTCGGCGCATTCGTCCACTGGTCCACTTCCTTCAAGCTAGCGTATATAGATCGTTCGTAGTGTGCATGCACCTTGATTGCCTGGATGAAAGGCTCAAGTGTCGTGCGATTTGGCTCGCGCCGCTGTAGTGTACGGAAGCATTTCTCCAGGCGACTAGCCACCATCGCTATTATAGTCGAGTGCATAGCTTGTGCATCGCCAGAAGAAGGAGTTGTCAGTATGATTTCATTGAAAATGCGTATCATTGAGTCGAGGTCCTTGTGTGTTTGGAGAAGCGCGTAGGATGCCATCCACGTGAGACCTTCAATCAAAGATGGTAATAGGAAAGTCTCTCCGAGATCTGAAATCGAGTCAGTGGTGTTTAATTGGACGAGAACATTGGGGTAAGCTTACATTCCAAGCCACCTTTGACCGACTCAAACGACAGTACGCCTGTCGAGCATGCCACGACAGTCTGCCTGAAAAGTGTCGGGACTATAAGATAAAAGTCCTGTGGCCGACAGGATGCAAACACCTCATTGCTCAGCCCTTC